CCCACCCCGACCCTGGAGTCATACCCCAAAGACCCCCTAACCCATTTTTGAAGTATTAATGAGACTACCGACTTTGCATTCCAAACAGAAGGAGTGACCCCCACCGCCCCCACGTCGGCGCCAGCTACACCCTCGTGTGCTCTTGATGAACGCGGCTCCCGTGAATCAGCACCTTCTTCTCCCCTTAAATCATGTTTTTCTCTGTCTTTGAACCCAGACTGACACTCTGAGGAATGCAGACTCTTCAGAGATGCGGCTCCGCTTTCACAGCGCATTCGGCCGGGCAGTTACCCCAGGCCCTTCCTGGCGTGCACTGGAGGAAGGACGCGTCGCGTGGTCACGGAATTCGAGGCCTGACGACCCCCAGCGACCTATACCATACTGCCATGGTATCCCGGAATGCCCACTGACTCTCCCTGTCAGTTAAGGAGGAATCATCACAGCAGAGAAGAAGCGTATCAGAACTAAATCATCGGATGAGATTAATCTGCTTAATCTATAACAAAACTAATCCTTTTGGGAAAGGGAGGCTTGAGCTCAAATTAAGCTGTTGTGTTTTAGATGTGGGACCCAATGACGAGAGACGAGACGGAGAGGTGGTCCGGTGTCTTGGTCTGAGTTGCGAAGAGATGCTCCTGTTCCTTCAGCAGCGTGAAAATCCCCCTGGACCTTCTCCGCAAAAGTGACAGAACCGGATCCTTCGCTGTCAAACGGGCGATGACATATTAACACCGCATGAAGGAGGATGCCTCAAATTCTGACATGCCAGAGTGATCGGTGGTGGTTATTAGCGGGTGAAATAACAGGATAAACACCAGTTGTTTTATTCAGAGGTTTTTAAAGACATTTCCCTTAAAAGTATAAATATAAATCTTTTTGAGATGCCCTGCATACATGCATGAGATATATACAAAATATTTTTTCATTCGCAGATTTTTTTATCATGTGGTGCAGTTGTCACAAATAAACAGGAACTCGAAGATCATCCTTTACAGTAGACAGTATGCATGCATCACGCCTTCAATTTGGCAGAACCAGAAACCCATCCCTCTAGAACTAATTTCTAGACTCTAGATCAGGGGTGTCAAACTCCAGTCTTGGAGGGCCGGAACCCTGCACATTTTTTGGTTTCCCCTCATTTAACACACCTGATTCGACTCCTTGCAACTCCTTGGGCTAATTACCACACAGCTCTTGAGCCGAATCATTTGTGGTGGAACAGGGAAAGAACTAAGTTACACGGGGCTCCGGACCCCCAGGACTGGAGTTTGACACCCCTGCTCTAGGCAGGAGGGAGCGACAGGCTCCGGGAGCGAAGGCAGGAGGGAGCGACAGGCTCCGGGAGCAGAGGCAGGAGGGAGCGACAGGCTCCGGGAGCAGAGGCAGGAGGGAGCGACAGGCTCAGGGAGCGAAGGCAGGAGGGAGAGACAGGCTCCGGGAGCAGAGGCAGGAGGGAGCGACAGGCTCAGGGAGCGAAGGCAGGAGGGAGAGACAGGCTCCGGGAGCGGAGGCAGGAGGGAGCGACAGGCTCAGGGAGCAGAGGCAGGAGGGAGCGACAGGCTCAGGGAGCAGAGGCAGGAGAGAGCGACAGGCTCCGGGAGCGGAGGCAGGAGGGAGAGACAGGCTCCGGGAGCGGAGGCAGGAGGGAGCGACAGGCTCAGGGAGCAGAGGCAGGAGGGAGAGACTCCCCTGTGCCCACGTGCAGGCCGCCTGATGAGCCAGAGCAGGCGCCATCGCTCACGCGCCTCCGTCACGCTCTCCCCGCCCACACTTGAGTTCTGAGAGACAGACACAAACTTCCGCCTTTATCCCCCAGGCCCTGAAAGGATAATTATAGGAAGTTGGGGCGGCAGGGCTAGCGCCGAGTACTTCACATTGTGCGTTGGCTTGACTTGTTTGTCTCTGAGGCTGCCAGCTTTGCTGACAGAGGGCATATCTTTGTTCTGAGGGAGCATCAATAAAAAACGGATGCAATGCCTGGGCGGGGGAGGGGGTGTGAAAGAGAGGCAAAGGGAGATGTTTGCTTTGAGAATTAACTTTCTCCGTTCTCTTGCCAGGCCAGGGGGGGGGGGCTTCTCTGATCACTGAGCAGACGGAACGTGGCTCCGCTCGTGTCCAGGAGCCCGATGCGTCCCGGGAAAAATCAACAGCAGCAAAGAGTGACTTACAGGCCCGTTTCTGTGGAATGAATCACCGTGTCGACTGCGGTTTCGTATGGTACCGGGCATTTTTTTCATTGCCTTGCAGGGGGGTGAAGCAGTTTAAAAGCTGTTTCACTAAACTACCAAGAGCTCTGTAATTGTTTTCTCAAGTATTAAAGAGTAATTCATAACTATTTCTAATTGCCATAAGTAGCTGGAGACAGGAGATTGACACGTTCTGATTTAGCAAGGGAATTGTGATCAGGTCATATGGTGACTAAGTTTTGACTTTCAGTTGGGTAGAAACACAGTGACAGGGCCCAGCTATTCAAGTTTGAGTACAGTAATGGTCAAAATGCAGATCAAGGTCTCCACGAGTATTAGAAAGGGAGAGTCATTTGCAGCTTCCAATGATTTTCCTGCCAATGGTCCTGAAGGACTCCGTTGGTGCCAGATCATTCTGGTGGCAGCTGGCTAGTCACGCCACGGCGGTAGCCCGGTGTTTGGGCGGTGAAAGGAGACTTAGTTGGCAGTTTCAGCCGCCACATTTACGTCGTTCTTTACGGCCCGGCGCTCCTGCTCAATGCGGGTCGCGCACAGCACCTGTGCCTGGCTTATCTAAGCGGGCGGCAACGGAAATGTAAACAGCCGAGCGCTCCGACAGCGTTTGCCCCCCCCCACCCCCGCCACGCACCCCCATTGCTCTTTGCGTCACACATACTCGGCACTGACAGGACAGTCAAGGCGGTAAGCGGCGTCTGTGGTTTTTTAACACCTATGAAACACGCCCCGTTAGGCCAGCTAAAGCTACCGCTAAACAAACAGGAGTTTCGGCAGCACCGTACAGCAGACGCTGAAACACGAGGCACTCGAGTGTGTGTGACACCTGTGATTGCGGCAGAATCCTCTCCTGCGGCCCCGAAGCTGTCCTGCCCCGCCGATACCAAGAGCAGTCGTGTTACTGCACATATCAGGAGTGCCATAAACTTTAAAATCAATATTTACAAGTGCTTTTCATATGAGGAAACTGGCCCAGCACGTGGAGATGTCAGAAAGGAAGGTGGGGATCACTGACCGACTCAACTGACTTCACAGCTGACTGGCACCTAAACAACGGCACGGTCGGATTCAGGGGCTACATACGGCCGCCGCGTCTACAGCGTCATCAGAAAGAGGGACGGGGGGAATTCAGCCCTGACCTCATTATTCTCTCCCTCCCCCCCATGTCTCCTGGCAGAAATCTGCTATGACAGGCAGCTTGGTCATTACACCAGACACATCAGCTGTCTTCCTCTGACCCCCGACCACACACACACACACACACACACCATTTAACTAGGCTGGAAGGACGCCCACATAAGTGTTTGGAATTTTGTAATGAAAGGGTTAAGCTCGGCTTCCCAGTGATGCCAGTACTGTGTTTGTTTTCGCCTGTTGCTGCCGCCAGCTCCATCTGGTTGTGAAACATACACACTGTCAAGAATTTACTCGCACTCGCTACCACGGCGCGCGAACGATACTCACCCTGCAACCTTCAGCCGTCCAGAAGGTTTCCGAAATTAAAAGCGTCACCAGCCAAACCCAGGGAAGTCAGGCCTTTCTGAACACGTACGCAAGCGGAAACTGCATCCTGGCCTTCAGGAGCCAACGTGAAAAGAATGTGGGCCTCGTAAATTTCAGAAACGATATAAGCTAAACACCTTCGGTACAGAAGGGCATCACTACAGCTACTGCTTAACAGATAGACGACAATTAAGGATCATTCTCCAGTCAATCAGCATTTATTCATATTTGTGATAGAACAATGCTGCTGCATACACAAGTACCACAGTTATTAGAACAAGGTGTGGGGCAGAGTAATACATAAACAATTCATATAAAACAGTGACACTGTAACACACAACACGCACATGTCCCAAGTGTCAGGAAACACCGATAATTACATAGTCCTTCCTAGACATAAAGAGCAATGTGATACATTTTGTTTTTACAGAACAGTGCAGCCTCAGTCTGTACAGCGTTATGCTGGACAGGTACCTTGGTGGCTGGATTGAGACACGGTGATTTGTAACTTTCACACCTGAGACGTATAAATTCCTCGCATTTGCTATAACGTTTCAATAAACAAGACATATGCCAATGTAAATAACATTGGACCACCTGCAATTTAAAAAAAAAAAAAAAAAAAAACCTAACATATAAAACAATGGCAACAGTTCGCGTGGAGCCCATATACTTTAAAACCTTGAGTTACCCGGAGACAGGTGTATACAGAGAAACGGCACCCAGCCACCCAGGGTCATGTGATACGCTGAGCGCTGTCTCTGCGCGCTACTTCAGCGCCCTTCCTGGGTGTTTAATTTCATTCCCTCCCGAGTGTCACTCGGCATCCTTGCGGGGAATTAACAGCGAGAAAATACTACAGGACAATTACTATGTGCAGGGTGACCAGAAAGCCGCTGCCCCTGGGCGGTACGTGACATCTGTTACCTAGTAATGGTCTCAAGGAAATGACGGCCGTTTAAAGCGTCTTGTAAATGCGGGTTAAGAAATAAACGCAAAGTAAGCCGACATGTAAAGAGAAAAGGATCTTCTTCCCTTGCTTCACTTCTAGAGTTATTCAGTCTGACAGAACGGACATGTTTTGAACTATTCCGCAACAAAATTAGTATCATTCAAGAATTATTAGCAATAGTAATTGCCTGCATAAACGTTTTACGGTAACTTCGATAAATTTATCTGGACAATATTCGTTTTGTAGAAGAAACAAAACTAAAGCCTAAGGCTATAGTTTAATTGAATTACACCGATTGGCCAAGCAGTTTTTTGATACAAAATTAGCGTTTAGTCAATACTCACCGTAATTTATAAGGGTGACGACATGACCTCCATTGGCCTGTGAACAGAGGCGATGAAAGGCTGTAAAGCAGAAAAAAAATGAATGGCAACGTTCACAACCTTAACCTGTGATTTATATCCAACTCGGTAAAATCATAAACGGTCTTTCAAATATAAAGTCGTGCTTCAGCACGTAAAACGTCTGTTCCCGTTAACAGACACATACCATTTTGAGTTTAAAGCATTATTTTCTGTTCTGCGTGAATTATTACACTTCCATTCGCGAAAATCAATACAGATGAACATATGGAAGACAATTAATGGGCATGAATAGACAAACAAGTTTAATAATGTATAAAAAACAATAGCTTATAAAACTTAAAACAAAATAGGCTACATAACGACTGTGATACTTCATTTAAAACATTTTGTCATAATGAAGCTGGCTCAGATAATTATGTTAATAACGGGATTCTGACTCATAAATTGCAGTAATAGCGATAAAGATACAGGCTGCAGTATAAACGGCTTAAACAGGAGCGGAAATCGCTCTGTTACACGGTAATTATTCAAGATGAGTTGCAATGCACATCCAACCAATTCATTGGTGGATGGATGACATTTAATATTGCATTACGAATGTAGGAAAACTAGTGGTTTCCAATATGGCATTCCTTCTGTATATCTATAACGGCGTGCATTCGTGTCTATAATAGGTAGCTAGCTTGCTGTTGTGATACTAAGACATTAAACAATATAACAGCGTTAGCGTGACGTATATGTCTGTGTGTGTGTGTGTGTGTGTGCGCGGATAAAATCAGGGAGATTATTTTATAGTCTGTATTTGACTGTGCACTGTGGTAAGGACTTCAGGCGCCTAAATAAAGTTTTATCACAAATGTGTAGTTATTCAAGATAATCACTAGAAAGCAAAACAGCTCAAAATCAAATCCCTGTCGCTTGTTTTTCCTTTCAGCGATTACGGACACCTTGGGCTTCAGTTCCGATAATTAACCTAAACTTTCCCCCATGCTCAAAAGAAGTGTTGTTTATCCGTGGGGAGAAAAAGAGAGGTCTTGCTTTTCATTCTCCTTACAAAATTATTCGCATTACCTTATGCTACACTGCACGATCTAATTTCTCCATGATCGCTAATTGCGGTGGCAGGTAATTGCAGCAGTTTACGTTGCAGAGGGCAGTATACGTGTCCCTCAGATTATTGAGTTGCTTTGTGAATTACCATACTGAAAAAATCTCGCCATTTTCCGGTGTTAGAGCCCAGTTGCTTTTCTTTTCTCTGTCCAGAATCGTTGGAAAGCACGCGATATTAAACACGTTTTGTTCGTGTCCACTGGTCCATGCTAACGCGGTCATTATAGCGGCGAATGGAACAGGTTTTAAGATGGATTTCATGACGGCAATATACACCGTACATGTGGGAAAAGAATGCTTTAAATAGGGACATCTGTTCTGTTTTGGCTTGTGCTGGGCTTACAGTTAGGTCAGATGGATAAAAGAAACCTTTGCGCCGCCCTTTGAACTGGCAAAAAATTCGAGCTTCGAATTTTGATTGAATGATTGTTGAGGTCGAATCCGTGTTAGGAAAAAAAAGAAACGATGGAAAAACGCCGTTTTGTGATCCATATGTTGATTTTATAAAAGTTGTTCTGAATAATAAAACGAATTAATACACCAGCGACATTACAAACAAGTGTAACATAGCCATTTATGTGTTTATTCAATTATTCACCGATTTTTAAAACGTGAATTAATCCTTCTACATGTTACTTTATTGCCTTAATTTCATAGGAGAGCGATCATACAATTAAATCCTTATTAACTCCAAAACAAATCCACCGACCCCGTGCCCACTTAATGCTGCCCAAACGCTCTCTTGTAGAAATACAGTAACACGTTTATGTTACACGAGCAGTGGCAGAGCCGCTCCGAGCTTATTGGTAATTAAACTGAACTCCGCGACTAACTAACGCTCACCTTCCAGGAGCCGCTATTGCAGACGTAACCTTGTGGAGGAGATGCTGTTCAATCGATGCATCGCCTTGCGTTATGGCTTGACACGGCGGAGCCCCATCCGAAATCCTGGGAAAGACGGTATGTATCATCATTGACATTACTGCAGAATAGTTGCATACTATTACTGCAAAATAGTTTAAAATTAATCTGTTAAAAATTGTAAAGAATTGCTACATTTATATAATAAAAACACGTTCAACACGTTCAAGATATATAACTTCTGCATGTGTATATCTGCCTTTTTTAATTACTTACCTTTATCTTTGGCTGCATTTTCAGTGGTACGTTATTACTTAAACGTAGGCCTAATATGTATCTTTGTGCTTATAATTCGCATTTTGTTTATGTATTAAATTTAATTTAATTCGCCTAACGCTAGAAAGGCGGTCATTGTAAAAGATGACAGCGTGCTGCAGATTTAACTAAAAATTGTACAATTTACTGTCTTGTGAAAAATTTTTAAACCATATTTTTGCTTTAACAATAAATGATATTACGATTTCCACATTAGGAGAAAAACTAATACCGGTTGTTATTATTGTGTAGCTGTTTACACACTTTCAGTTACACTGGCCTACACACAAACATCACAATTATAAATTAGTTTGTAGATCAGGAAAAGTAAACAATTAAAATAGGCAACACAGTTCCGAACCTTTCCGGAAGATAGGTTACGATTTATAATATGTAAGAAAAGCGTATTTTACTGTACAACACTTGGCTTTAAATTGTGTATCTCCGTCTCTAATATAGGATGACGTTGGTCTTACTTGGTCCTCTATGTGCGAGCTCATATGGTTTCCGTACTTAATACTTCGGTGTAAATTACAATTAAAGGAAAGAAGAAAAACAGTTGTCCAAGACGCAAAAACAGTGAAATTAATCTGGTTGCTCATCCATCATTGCGCATAATAAAGCAGGAGACACGTATGTAGCAGGTGACGTGGTGCGGAATTCGGAGGCGTTTTAATTAACTTTTGTCCCCTCCGCTGTCCTGTAATGATCGAGCTGGTCAACAGGCCCGGTCAATAAGCATGTTAATATCAAACAAATAAAACGGCGCCTGATTAAAACCTCCACGTTTTATTAAATTTGAAATTCAAATGAAATGCATGTTGTCAGCACACACTGCATGCTAATGCAGTCTGTTGAAGGAACAGATGCTCCATCTTACAGATACATACAGAACTTTTACACACACACAAACCGCAGATTACAAGCATGTTGGCATCACTGAAAACAGATCGAATAATCAGATTTTACAATATCGGTATGCTCTTTGGCAAAGCATAATAAAGATTGCTCTAAACTTTTGGACTTATCGAATGCTTTTAAACTTCGCATTGTGTTATTGAGACAAGCTTATTTCAGAAGGCATGCAAGAAATTAAACTGTCAGAATTATCACTGAAAATCCGTAAGGACTGAGTGACACGTGGGCGGTGTGTCACTCAATAGATATTTTACTTCAATAAACAGACAATATTAGACGCAATCATAAGTGACTTAACGGACATCTTAAAATCAAGCCCTCGCAAGAAAATGCCGTCATGAACATAGGGGTCCAATTTTTCAGCAGCTTATACGCCGCATTAAACAAACATTTACGTTTGCTGTGAATGAAAATAAACTAGAGGGACACAAGCAAAGAAGTTAATTTCTTTTTATCTGTTAAGAACCTCTTCCTCCTCGTCCCCACCCCCTCCTCCTACAGGGCGGACGGTCACGCCTTCTCAACATTCCCAACGGCGCGCGCGAATAAACACTACATTCATTTACCGAAACGCAAGCCAGGGGGAAAACTCAAATCATACTGACAGCGAGCGAGTCAGTCACTGTCCTAACGCTCAGCGCAAGCGACGAAGAGTATCTTTAATAAAGAGAAGTATCTTCATACTGAAAATGTGTGTGTTGCATATAGTTTGGCAGACTTTCACGTGCACAGCTTTTTAAACTAAATAAATCTGTGACAATAATTAACTTGATTTCTTCTTCTGAAACCATTTATATTGTAAGAAATAAGGAAGACTGGAATATGCTCTGTCGTTTTAATGAAAGCCACAAGGAACGTAATTGAATTAAATTACTGTAAAATGCGCTTAACGCAGGCTAATATGAGCTTAGTTCTTAGAACAATACACTCCATTGTGTGCCGTCTAATTGTTGTTTTATGAACTCTTTAAAGAAAAACGTAGCCATTTAATGTTTAAGATGGGAGAAAAAGCATATTGTAGAGGAAAAATTTTCGCAATATTTGAGTCGACAGTACCTTAGGGGAAGCATCGAAACTAGTGCACTATGACCCATCAATAACAAACCAGGCCACGCTTCCCAGTTAACCGATGACATGCATTTTGATTAATTAAATAAGTGAAACGGTCTGGTCTGCCGATAAAATTAATGACATATTTATGTGTCAATAAAACTGAAATAAAACAATGACATTTTGCTAAGTTAAATAAGACTTTATAGTTTTTTATTACATCAACTTAAATTTTGCATGGCTATGGGGATTGGGTGTATAGTTTTTTAAAAGACTGATTCTAGCGCCAGTCCTGATAATCATCTAAATAAAGAGCAAGGCGTATCATCATTATAAACTTTGTTGTTGTTTTTCGCTTAAAATGTTCTAAATTCACCTTCTCCCATTTCTCTGAGGAAGGGAGCAGCGGAGGGGGAGGGAAGCTTGTCTGAAGCGGTCTATTGATGACCTCACGCTAGAATGTGTCATATAGTAGAGATGCTGACATTCTGATTGGTCGCCCGTGTCCCAGCGGTACTTCAAAGCTGAAGAGGACCTACAATTGTGGCGGAATGGGCGGAACAGATCATTGTATAGCAGACCTCTAAAAAAAGAGTGCTCCCATTTATAAATATAAAAAGATCTTCAAAAGAGGGCACTTTTGTGATGGCAACTTCACTTCTAGGGGTGAGTCTAAGGCTTTTCTTGCTAGTTTAATTAGTTCTTTTATTGTTCGCACGGAGGGGATTAAAATGCCTTCACCCAGAGCAGGGAAGTCAGTTTGTTGATAATGTTTAAGCAAGTTGGTCAAATAGAACGAGTCTAAGTTTGCAACTTTTAAGGTGAAGGAACTGGAGTGATTTTTTCCCCTTCCAGTCTACCCTAGTCCGTCGATATGCTTAATCTTTTTTTAGGATTTTAAGTATTCGTCTTGTTTTTATGTTCGTGATTTCCTGCTCATCTCGATCTACAGGTATGTTACCTATATGACTGTTGCAAAGCGAGACTGCATTTACTTACGAAACAACGACGAAGCACGACGACTCACATAAATCTGCGCTTAGTTACACTTAGACACTGGCATCTGTATGACATTGTTGTTTAACCGTAACCATTAAAACGCTTATAAATAAAGCCTACTTATCTGTCTATTCAGTTCTTCTGTTTCGTTTTACTTCCGTCTAGGAAGAGCCAAGGTTGGGATCGACCCCTTTAGCCATGTTAGCTGCTACCTGTAACAAGATTGGGAGCCCAAGCCCTTCGCCTACTTCGATTTCGGACAGTTCCGCGTCTTTTGGGAAAGGTTTCCATCCGTGGAAAAGAGCAGCGTCCAGCAGCTGTAATCTTGGATCCAGCCTCTCAACTTTTGGCGTGTCTGGGACTTCCAGGAACGGAGCCGGGCTGGGAGACTCGTTCAGTGGGAACAGCTCGACTGGATCCAGTGCATTTTCGCTGACCTCCAGTAACTCTTCAAATTCTCCCTTTGGGAACGAATATTCCGTTTTTCCAGCGTCTGTGTCAAACACCTCTCAAGAACCGAGTCACCAGCCGGTGTTTATCTCGAAGGTGCACACATCTGTCGACAGTCTGCAGGGTATCTATCCAAGGATGAGCGTCGCGCATCCGTACGAATCGTGGTTTAAGTCGCCACATCCAGGCATTCCTGCCGGGGATGTCGGCACCAGCGGCGCCTCGGCGTGGTGGGACATGGGTGCCGGGTGGATTGACGTTCAGAATCCCAACGGAGCTGCGCTACAGACGTCTTTGCACTCTGGAGGACTTCAGACGTCGTTGCATTCCCCGTTGGGAGGCTACAGCTCTGACTATTCCGGGTTGAGTCATTCTGCCTTTAGTACTAGCGCTTCGCCCCATTTGTTGACCACAAGTCAGCACCTGATGGATGGATTCAAGCCGGTGTTGCCCGCTTCTTACCCGGACCCCAGTCCATCTCCTTTAACGGGAGCTGGAGGTGCCATGCTGACCGCGGGTCCCAGCGCTCCCCTTGCAGGATCTCCCCGGTCCTCCGCGCGGCGATACTCGGGTAGAGCTACCTGCGACTGTCCCAACTGCCAGGAAGCGGAGAGACTCGGACCGGCGGGAGCGAGCCTGCGGAGGAAAGGGCTGCACAGCTGTCACATTCCAGGGTGTGGGAAAGTTTACGGAAAAACATCACACTTAAAGGCGCATTTGCGGTGGCACACTGGAGAGAGACCATTCGTGTGCAACTGGTTGTTCTGTGGGAAAAGATTCACCAGGTCCGACGAGCTGCAGCGACACCTGCGCACTCACACCGGCGAAAAAAGGTTTGCTTGTCCGGTGTGTAATAAGCGCTTTATGCGCAGCGACCACCTCAGTAAACACGTTAAAACTCACACCGCTGGAGGCTCTGCGGAATCGGGTTCTGGTGGCAGCGGAGGGAAAAAGGGCAGCGACACCGACAGCGAACACAGTGTCCCCGCGAGCCCTTCGTGTCATTCGCCTGACATGATGCATCCTGCAGAGTCTGTTCAAAACAGCGGACTGAGCTGCCCAAGTAATTCTATAGAATGAGAAGTGAAAGACTATAAACTTGTAAAAGCAAACGTGTACGTGTGTTTCGTAAAGTAATTATATTTACGTGCAACATACTTGGCGAAATTACACAATTTTGTGGGGCAGTTTTTGAACTGATCAAAACGGCTGGAAAACGTCCATTCTTTTGAATGCTTTAATTCACTGCAAAATGTGAAATTACGATGATGTGTTTTCAGAATTAAACCTCTGGTTTTCATATGGTTCGAAAACCAAGAATATCGTCAACTTGGGCCAACTTCCTATATATAGGCCTATGCAAACCTGTCAACACTTACGTCCCAAAAAATGTCAATAATGAATATGATACTGGCGTTAAAGGAGACTTCTGGAAACTTCTGGTTGTAACAATAATCACTAGTGTTCTTAATCTGCTGGTTCTTTGCAATTTAGTTTACTTTTAAAAGTCCAGTTCCGGGAATTGTAGGCGTGTGTGAGATGAACGTTTTAAACGGTCATGTCCAGTACGTCAAAACAGATAGTAAAACACTGTATTTATGATTAATTAGCGTGTTTCTCGGCAGTTCGATTATTTTCACATTTTCCATTTGGTGTCTACCTTTGAAAACCAAACTCTGGCACTTTATTCTCCAGCTCCGCTTTAGGGTAACATTATCGGAGTTTGCCTGTGGCGAATTAAACTGAATTTTAAATGAGGTAATTGTTTCGGTTTCTGTAAAGTCTTGATATTGCCGCTTAGGCCTAATTTGTAGAATATATGTGCTACGTGTTTTGCTTTTTATCGAGGCAGATATCATATCAACTGGAGGGCGTTTTCTTTCAACAGAACCACCCTAAGACATGTCGTATTTATTATCAGATCATTCTGGCGTAATGCACGATGTTGCTGGAGATTTAATAACTGGAAGATATTATTACTATTATTATTATTAAACATCAATATGTTTAATAGCCTATAGGTTTGCCTGGGAGACTAATTTTGTACAGTATTTCAGTGTGAATTGATTTAAATATCTGAAAATATATGGGAGTAGTCTACGTTTTACTTTCTTCTTCTGTTGAGAACAAAATGAAATTGTATATTGCTGTTGGAGTTCTATTTATCCACGAGTTGGACTTGTATCTTAAAGTCTATCAGAGTCGCACTTTGAATTTATATTTAAAGATTTTAGATTGGGATTCTTTTAAGTGTTAAATCACGGATTAATTTAATTACGCATGTACATGTTTCGGATATACCGTTTAGCGAACAAACTGACTTTCAGATGGAAACCTGGCAATAAAGTCAGAATGAATTGACTCGAACTGTTTTGTCTTTGAAGCTGACACGCGATGATTCTTAAGTAACAATTTTGTCAATTGAGAAACCAGTGAAATCGTGAACGAAATAAACGGTTTATTTATTATTATTGTGAGTAATATTTTAATTGAAACAAAATATCAGACGTATAGTAATGTAGAGTATGTATCGTCGTTATCATAATATTTATTATTTCTGTAGATTATAATCAGATATTCAAGCATTCAAATTGTATGTGATGCAAACCTGTGATTGTACTGTAGCTGATAATATCAAACATTACTTAATTAAATATTAAATAATAAAGTTTATTTTCACAGACAGCTGAAATGTTGAAGAGTTTTTAAAAAGTAGGGCGATACTCTTAGGCTTTTAAAGTATATAAAAATATATGTGCTTATGAAGGCAATTCGGTGATATGCAGTTAATTAAAGTTCAGTGAACCCATCAAATATGCTAAAAAAAATAAGAAAAACAAGTTTTATAGATAAACAAAATGTTACCAGCGGGGAAACAGTTCTAAAATACTTTTATTTTATTTCGAATAATTTCCAGCTAAACGCCACATTTTCAGACTACAGTGCAAATTAATCTAATTAGATATTGTGAGACAAAAATCCAAAACAAAATGAAAACGAATCTTTAAAAAGACTGTATATCGGTCCCATTATACAGAACGATTTAATTGTGAATAAGGCTAAAAGCAAACGCAACCAGCGATTATTTACGTCCTACATAAACCTATTATAAAGTATTAATAAAGAACATTTATTATATAGCGTATTTATGCAGGGTGTGGTTACACTATGCGTCTTCATCAAAATACGTGGTAACTAAGTTATAATCAAATTTATACATACTGATAAATTAACATTGCCAACTGAGAAAATTTATTATATATAGTAATTAAATATTGCTTATATTGTAATTATATGCAGTCACCCAAGAAAACGGTCGAGAAATAAGTATGTCACTTTAATAACTGACACATTTTCTGTTTTGTGGTTATAAACAGCCTGTTCTATGGCTGCAGCGTTGAGTTTATTTTATTGGATCAATAATTCAATAACTCTTCTAAGGAAATGTAATACCCAAGCCGATAAGTTGTAATTTTTACCCTAAAAAGCCGACATTAAATCATATTTAAAAAAAATGTTTTCTGGAAGAAATTAATAAACGGCATGATATACGTAATCATATACATAAAATAGAAAAAAAATAGTCGGCGACCAAAAATAGTATTTAATTAAGTCTGGCTTACAGTAAGCCTGTCTTAAGTATTAAGTAGGCGGTTATATTCGAAGATTGTCAGGAAACACAGACATAAAACAAAATACACAAGTCTCAATAAATAAAATGTTACATGGTAGGCCTATTGAAAATAACGGCTACGTTAAAAAAAAGTCACCAGAACATTATTAATTTAGGCATTAAAACGTTATGACTAACAAGGCAACTGCGACATAAGTATACCTGTCTCGTCTGAAAATCAGCTTTCATTCTTGCTCAAAATTGCACAACTTCTTTTAACTAGTATCATGCAAGCAACCCGGTAAGGGGTCTTTTTATTTCTTAATCACTTCACGTAAAATTTCACCAGTTCGACGTAAGTAGGAACAACTCTCGACATTTTCATTTTCTCAAAGTGATAGTTCAACTCACTCTCACCGGTACCTTTCATTAACGTTAAGGGTGCTGACACATTTCTCGAAAGCCACTCTAACTGCTGCGGTCATTTTCAAATCTCATTTTTGTTCGTGGGTAAAACAACTGTCAGTATCTCGAGAATACATTCATGACGGTAAGAGCAGAAACTGCAAAACGTTAGAGAACCTTGCGGCAAGGCTTTGACGGCACTTCCATTTCTGTAACACGGAATGTTGGGTCACTGGCCTGTGGAACGCGTTAGGTTGGTAAATTGCGCCCTCTAGTCCCCTAGCAGAGAACGGTCCCATAAAGAATATTTAATACATACAAAAACAATGTCATTAAAGCAGCAATTAATAAACATATTTAAAACACAGCTCAAATGAATGAATGTACGCTTCAGCAATATGTTTAATAGCTTAATACACACTTGATTGCAATTTTCATTAAGCGATAATCGATAAGGCCACTGGCAGTATATAATTCAGTATATATGAATATACTGGCAGTATATATGGCCAGTTTCCATAATTCAGAAAGATTCAGGGCTGGGCACGTGGCAAGTAAGGTTTCGGCTCATTCTTATTTGACTCGACTAAATTTAAACTTGGTTATTTGGCTCCCCAAAGCATATTTCAGGATTAGCAACAGCCCATGTGACTGAAGCTATCTCAGGTGTGTGATGAAACCAAAAACGTTTTATCTCTGTCAGCATATTACGAGTTTTTGTCCCATGATGGAAACGCTAAAATGGATCGACAGGTTTAAAGTAATTTATCCACCATTCAGTTCTAAAGTTTTCAAACACATCACTTAGCCGTTTCCTGCGGCCTGTATCACAAAGCCGGATTTCTTGCTTAGCCGGATACCTTGTCGGATTTAAGTTAGCCTGAGCTAAGTATAAGTGAACGAAGATGAAGTACATGTGAACTGGGGTACCTTAAACAGAGAAGTCCTGCAAGCAAGTCCTCCAGCTTCCAGAGAGAATTTGCGGGTTGGTGGCAGGATTGGCACTCCAGCCACCAGCAGAAACTTCACACTGTTCCACTCCACTCAAACTATAGTGTGGTGCTTTCGGATTCTCATCCCTGAGGCGGTTCTTGGTGTGGTGGGTGCGGCAACGTGTTGTATCAGCGCGCGCCCCTTATCCTATACCTCTTACCTTATACCTCAAATCCAACAAATTATCCAGCTAAGCAAGACACCTGCCTTCGTAATACAGGGCCCTGTTCCCTTGATCCTATAGTGAGTAGCACTGGGGGGGGGGGGGGGGGGGGTGTTCCACGGAGCGGATTTCTCGGTTAGCTGGGTAAACTTAAGATAGACGTCATGATTATCCAATAGAAATGCTCCTTACCTAAACTCCTATTGGACAATCATGACGTCTATCTTAAATTAACCCAACTAACTGAAAAATCCTGCTCCTGTCCGTACAGACACTTGTTGTTGCTAGACAGCATAGGCACAGGCCACCTCGCGTTACATCTTTTCACCTGCCCAGTGAACTCCTTCTAAAAATGACAACATAAACATATATAGCACCTGTGCACTTTTATTACAAAAGTGTCAAAAGTGTTCATTCAGTTTATTATTTGTTTATCTAGGCTAGCAATGGTACAGACGTTAGTGTATGTCGATTTGTTGCTAGAGGTGGTGCGTAGCTAGATATATAAGTGCTAGAGAATAATTATAAAACCTTTAAACATACGAATTTCTTCCATTTTCCTCTTTCTTTTTCGCGCCAGATGTGTAGCGTTTTGAAGTAACGTAATTTATTTTTAGATATTTCATTTTTTGGGCACGGTCGGGTCACGGATCGACATTCCCACAATACTGAACGCCAGGTGCGTCATGCTGAATAGAGAAGCCCCCGTCCAGTGACGGGTGACTGTTTAACTGTGATTGTTTGTTGCATCGTACTTTCTGATATAATCTACATTTCTTTCAGGGAGTTGTACACAGGGGCGCCGTAAGGGGGGTGGGGGAGTAAAGACAATTCCAAAATTGTTTTTGGAAAATAACAGGATTGCTCTGGATGCCTCTGGATGTACGTGTTTACTCAGTATGGAGACGCGATAATACAAATCGGGAGAACAGGCACTGGTTACCGATAACTCACTTTGCACGTGGTCGATGGAAAATAACGTTTGCTGGGCGGACTGATGGGCCGTGGAGCTGAGCAGACAAAGCTTATGAATATGTCAGTGCAAACAGGCGTTAACACGACAGGAAGACACGAGGACTCGCTGTCAAGACGTCTTTCAAATTCCACGTGAAGAACCGCAGTGAGGTTCATGGGTATACAGAGGCATCCATCAACAATTAAATGAGACAAAACATATTGCAGCAGAAGCAATACACAAACACAAAAACAGGTGAATTTTTGTTTCAATTTTATTCTTGAATGGGTAGGCTTTGTTGTTTAAATTATCCTAAGGATCAAAACCGGATTACTCGCGTGGCAAATTAATACATTCCACTATAATCTTATAAGCATGTAAAATATAAAGAATAAAACAAGTAGCACAAATGTAAATAAATAAAGCGCAGGTTCACAAAAAGTTGTCACATAATCACGAAGTCGTAAAAGGAACGTATTACTTTTTAATGTTCGTGATAATACATCTTAAACTAATTAGAAGCACACAGTGATCGTGATTTACTTTCACATAATTCGTATGATAAAAATGCCCTGAAGTTTACTCACAGAAATACTATTCATAGTGCCTTTCTATTGCATTATGCTTTCAAAAAGATTAAGTATGCATTTTGTGTGAATCTATATAACAGTACCATGGAAAGCACAAATTAGTATAATTAATTTACACCTAATAACATTATACCACACCAAAAAAAAATAATGAATCAGTAAGAACATTGTTTTAGTACCTAAATTTTAAATTATTTTACATATACAATGAGTGAACTCAAAATAAATTAAAATATTAGTGTTAAAACGTACAGAGCAGCAAGTAGTGTAAACAATTGCTAAAATAAACACAGGAGGCACGGAGTTAACAGGGTGGAGTGGCCTGAAAGTATTAAGGAGCTCAATCCATTAAGGTCACGTGGTTCCGTAGCTGATAACCATTTAACAGAGCTGACAAAAGTATCCAGCGCCAACATTTAATGCCTCCTTCTGGTAAGTCAGGGAATTACACCTCGACGAAACGAACCCTTAAATCAGAGGATGAAACTCTTAACTGTGGTAAGCTAAGTTTAAAAATTAATGCCCTAACTTTCTTCTAAGTAGGTACACACACACACACATATTTTTTGACAAGTAATGCCTTGGAATTTGGTTGAATTAACGCCTACCACACAGATACCGAGTTTGACGGCTAAGCTTTAACTTCTACTCAGTTCAGCTGCGCTCGTTTCATACAGTAGTATCACACATCGTAGCGATGCAAGTGCAAGTTTCCGTTTCAATAAATGTGAACAGCCGTACCCATTAATTCTGCTGCCATGAAATCGGCATCCTCTCAATACAAAACACGTTTGGCTACCGAACTTCAGCTCATTCTAAATTACTCGACGCATGTTCTGTAATCTTTCACAAGTTCTGTTTCTCCGACCATTATATATATATATAGAAAGTGAGGTTAGAATTGTATCCAGTTACATTTCACTAGTGATTTGCAGGGAACATTTCGGGACTAGTCACAGTAGATTATTGCTGCTTCATAATCTTTTTGTTCATAGAAATCATGCCCTTGGTGGCCACTAGATGGCAGGAAAGCTCAAAGATAGTCTGTAAAGTTTCGCCACCGAAACAATTTTCTTTTACATCCCCAAAAAGCAGCAAGGCTGAGGTTGAACACATCGGTCGCTTCAGCTGATGTAGTGTTGAGGCCGCTTGATAAAGAATATGCATTCGGGGACTCAAATCCACAGAAAACCACATGGCTGATCAGATGAGCCCATTATTCACTAATCCACAGTTCGAAAATTCACATAAAAGTCCTGTAGAGGAATAGATGCATACCCTTTGCCAGTTTATAAACCAGTCGCATTAAGACCGATTTAAAGCTCAGTGGAATTTTCCCTGCAGTCCATTCAGAAATCAGCAGTCTTCTCTTATGGTCTCGCCCTGAGTGACTGCTAGAAAGGTTAGTGAATGAATGTGCTCTTTGGGGGGAGGATGGGGGGGGGGGGGGGGGGGGGGGGGGTGGATGTGGCCCACATCTTCATTTACTGTCCTGCAGTTAGGTCAAAGCAACCTCAAGCCTTACTGCCAGAGTGCCAGACTTCATGCAAAGGTATCTTCTGAACCTCTACGGGCATCTCTGCCGGCTCGTCTCGCCTGTAGATTATCGTCTTCTCGGTGGAGGAGGGCATGAAATTCGATTCCTGCACGGGGAGAATCGTGTCCGTCACGGTCATGAAGCTGAGCTCCCGGGACCGAGAAACAGCATAGATAAGCATGTCTCTCAAACAAGGTGCCCTTCACAAGTGTGTTATTACTCTCTAGCCTGGAAGACTGCACTGCTTAACAACAACAATGTGTAATGGAAGGTCGGTCGTCACCTTTGCCGTGTTGCTGTACACCGGTGCATCGCCAACACTCAGAACCCTTCGCATTAGTAGGAACTTCGCCATGAGGAGAATGACCAGCCCAAGAAGAACCGTGAGGAGGAAGACGCAGATGAAGGTGGGGTAGTACCTCTGACTTGCCAGACATTCTAGAATGACAGACAGTAGCGGGGCGTTTCTTAACTCCCGAGTTCAGAAATGACGGTGTAGAAATGAGGCTGGCAGGGTGAGTGGGATGAGGAAGTGTTAAATGGGTGGCACTTCTGATGAAACGACCGCAGATCGCAAGAAGACAGCTGTCGTAACTTGTGAAACCTGCCCCCACACACACACACACCACACGCGCGCGCAAACTTCAGCAGATCCAGCTCCATCAGTGTCTTCGCTTAGTGCAGATACCTGCAAGTGTCTCTGCAATCAGATTTGCGCTCAGGTGACTTTCATTGGAACGCAGAACCTTTTCAGGGCCTGGCTGTCGCCACGCGCTCTCCGGTGGGTTCCGGAGGAATGGAGAAGACAGAAAAACGAGACCTCTATTTGCCAATTTGGCAAAACTGGACAAAATGAAAAATTCCGGGTCCTAAGAAGGATTCAGTAAGTGACTTGGCAAGACATAAAGGATGAATCACAGAAACAGTGATGGCAGACTAGCTTTGGTGGGACGAGCCTCAGTGACACGACGTGGCACCGATAATCCTGTCCTCTGTCCTACAGTCAGTCCGCCGCCTCCTGGCATTTCGTCAGCCTGGGATTCTATGAAAATCCCGATGAGGCCGTCCGCCCCCCCCCCACGCAAACCCTGCGCATCCAACTGCTAGCAGGAACCGGAGCTGGGGGGCCTGGCCCGGCACGGCCTCACAAAAAAAAACAAAAACAAAACAAAGGAACCAAAGTACTGTATTGACATTCTTTGCGGTTGCTATGGAAACCTGGCAGCAAGGAATGGGATGAGGCGTTTTTGAGAGGACAGACCAGTTGGGGTTGTTTTCAAGAGACACAGTGCTGGGAAGTCAGGGGTGGGCTGGGGGGGCATTTCATATAATGGCTTATGGCATTTTTGAAGACGTGGGTGTTACAAGTGTATTCAGCCAAAGCCTTTTTGGCGGACAAGTAAACATACAGTCAAATACACACACAAGCCATACTGGTGCAACTTTTAATGTAATTAGTGACCCCTTAAGTGACTGAAAATCAGATGAAGAGATCTGGAGCCGTTAGTGTTAAGGTTGCAAAAAAAGTGGATGATGAGCCACTGTCACAACATCTGTCTTTTTAAAAATGTTTTTCATCTTTTGGCGACACTCGATTTGAGAAGGAGTGAGAAACTGGGGGAGCAGCGCAGGCTGTCGCTCAGCGCTCCATGTCCGGCTTCCGGTGGCGCGTCAGGTGGGACCGATGTTGCGAAACGTGATGCGACAGAACGTTTAGCGTTTCGGTCAAAGCGCGACGGGGAAGGTGCGAGTCGCCGTGACGGCCGTCGCGTAAGAGCGGGGGCTGAGTCCCGGCGGTGCTGGGACAGGACTGCAATTTAAAAGCGCTGTCAGA